CTCTGTCACCCTGAGTAGAATGCTGTGGGGTCATCATAGCTCGCAGCAACCTCAAACTCTTGGGCTCAAGAGATCCTCTTGCCTCAGCCTCTCAAGTACCTGGGACTACAGGCATATACCACTACACCAGTTTTTCTTTTCTTTTCTATTATTATTATTTTATTTATTTATTTATTTATTTTTGGTTACTAGAGATGGGATCTTTCTATTGCTCAGGCTGGTCTCAAATTCCTGAGCTTAAGTAATCCACCTGCCTCGGCCTGTTGTAGGTCAAGGAGCAAAAAATACCTATCTTAAAAGCTAGGGAGATTGAAATAAAAGACAATAGAATTATTCTTGTATATAGAATCTGGAATGAGAAGTGGCTGAGGTTTTCACCTCCACCATATAAGCTGGGCTATGAGATCACTGATGATGGAGAGGGCAGGATCTTGGTGTCACCCTCATCTGAAGGACATCAGGCAGAGTCCATTTCCCATGGTGTCCTGCTGACATTCGGGGTCAATCCTTTCTCCAAGTAAATAAGAAAGTCGTTTGCATAAATGCAGCTTCAGTGGCACACTGGCAGTCCTTGGACACCATCCAACTGAGTGTCATTTTCAGGGGAGGAAGTCACCTTGTCAGCATGCAAGGTGCACAGTGCTTGCTCCTGGACACCACTGGAGCGAGGTGCCCTGAAGGAGGAATAGAGGTACCATGGGGTGCAGGGTGGGTACTTGCACCATGAAGGGGCCACTCCATCTAGGAACACGGCTTCCAAACACAAAAGCAGTCTGGATGTCTCCATCGCTCCTCAGGTGGGAAGCTTGAGTCATCAACCTGTTCTGAGACTCCGTTTCTCTGTCTGGACAATGAGATGTCCCACCTTCGTGATTTCCTTCTTGTGAGGATTATGTGAGTGAGGGCTGCGTTAAATGCCTGGCAACTGTGCGGTGCTGACTTCCTGGTGTCCCCTGTGTCACCCACCCTGTCCTTCATTGCCACCTACTACCATGCTCTGCTTTTTTGCAGGACTTTGTTTGAAAAATAGGTGTGATCACTGACACCGTTTCTCCCCATGGATTTTGCACTCTGTCTCCTTCTTCAATAGGGAAAATGTAAATAAATTCACTTCTTAATTCTTCACACCAGTGCTTAGTTATCCAGAGACAGACATATCATGAAATATCAGTTAAAAAGATAATAATATATATGTGTATGCGTTATACATATATGAGTGTGTGTATATAAATATACACACACACACATAAACTTTTTAACAACAGCAAATTTGTCTGCCCTCTTTTTTTGGGGGGGGGTTGAGACAGAATCTCACTCTGTCACCCTGGCTAGAGTGCTGTGGTGTCATAGCTCACAGCAACCTCAAACTCTTGGGCTCAAGAGATCCTTTTGCCTCAGCCTCCCAAGTAGGAGCAAAGCTATAAAGTATACGGCAGAAAAAATGTTACATATGAATGATATGAACAAGTACTTAATCCAAAAATCTCATCTTCCTCCTGGGAAATCCAAAGATAGTTCATAAATAACATGCACCTAGAGTCACCTGCCACCATGTTTGGCTAGTTTTACTATTTTTAGTGGAGACTGGGTCTCACTTGTGCTTAGGCTGGTCTTGAACTCCTGAGCTCAAGCAATCCTCCTGCCTTGGCCTCCCAAAGTGCTAGGATTATAGGTGTGGGCCACCATGCCCAGCCTCCCTTTAATATTTGAAAGGAATATAGAGCAATGTAAGACTCATTGTAAGAAAGTATGAGATTGTCATAATATAGTTTCTGCTGCTCAACCATGTTATTCAGATTTTCCAAAATAACTGTTAGGTACCATCATTCTTATTGTAGGAAGCTACCCTCTGACTTAGCATTTTAAAATCTCCTTAAGCAACTTTCATCTTTCCTTCCATGCTATCCTTTCACGGAAAGTTCCTCATTTTTCACGTGTTAATTTGAGGGTTCTATGGGAAAGAAACAAAGTTAAAAATAAAAATATACCCTCTACGCATTCAGGTAATGTAATTCTGGAAAATGTTCTTTGAGTTAAAAAAAAAAAAATTGGCAATTGAAAAGCCATATAGGACAATGGTCAAGAGAGGGTCTAGGCTTGGAATGAATTAGAATTCTAGCACATTTTTTTTTCTTTTGAGACAGAGTCTCACCCTTGGTAGAGTGCTGTGGCGTGATAGCTCACAGCAATCTCATACTCTTGGGCTCAAGTGATTCTCTTGCCTCAGCCTCCCGAGTAGCTGGGACTACAGGTGCCCACCACAACACCCGGCTATTTTTAGAGACCAGTTCTTGCTGTGGTTCAGGCTGGTCTTGAACCTGTGAGCTCAGGCAACCCACCCACCTCAGCCTCTCAGAGTGCTGGGATTATAGGTGTGAGCCACCACACCTGACCTTCTAGTGCATTCCTTGAGTGAGTATCTACGTATAATCTCTCAAGCCTCAGTTTCTTCACCTGTCAAATTGAGACCTGTTGGAATTATGGAGAGTGTTAAATGAGAAAATAGATGCAAAGCACAATGCCAGGCACGTAGTAAATTCTTGTAATTTTCAGCTATGATGATTACGATAGGCAACTTTCTTTTTTTCTTTTCTTTTTTTTAATCAAGATAGGGTTTTGCTCTGTTGCCCAGACCCCAGCCCAAAGTGCACTGGTGTGGTCATAGCTCACTGCAACCTCAAATTCCTGGCCTCAGGTAGTCCTCCTGCCTCAGCCTCCCCAGTACCAGTAGCTGGGACTACAGGTGCCCACCATCACTCCTGGATAATTTTTCTATTTTTAGTATAGATGGGGTCTCATTCTAATTCAGGCTGATCTTGAACTCCTGGCCTTACGTGATTCTCTTGCCTCAGCCTCCCCAGTAGCTGGGACTACAAGTGCCCACCACCACTCCTGGCTAATTTTTCTATTTTTAGTAGAGAGAGGGTCTTACTCTAATTCAGGCTGGTCTTGAACTCCTAGACTCAAGTGATCTTCCTGCCTCAGCCTCCAACCTCCCAGAATGCTAAGATTATAGACATGAGCTGCTGTGCCCAGTGCACTTTTTATTTTCAATTGTAACTAAGATGGAAGATTTTTCTGTGGCTGTACTTTAACCATAAACTTTTCACTTGATAGATCACTTAAAATTTAGAAAACTTAAGTCTCAAGGCATTAGGTCAAAAGAAGGAAAAATTTATCAGGAACAAAAATGAGAGCCTGATTCGACCTCTGGGGGTGACCCGATTCCCCTCCTGACTCCCCCATACCCAATACTTTATGTTGAGTAATTAAGAAATTGAATTTAACTGACTCGAAAGGAAAATATACTAAACTTATCTCTTCCTTTTACGTTATTTTGATTTTATCTATTTTGTTTTGAAGCCTGTTTCTTTCGGGAAAAAACAGAATATGTTTACTCTAGAAAAACACATATTCTTTCAGCCGAGTAATTTTGGAAGCAAAAGATGGTCTCCATGGTAAGAAGATGGAAAAGGAGTTGTATTAATAGAAGAAAGCACAGAACTAATGTACAGTTTATAGCATGAAAGAAAGATTTTTTAGCCTCCCTGTCTAAAACAACATTGTGAACTGTAAGTTATGCTAAATTGGTGAATAGAATTAAAAGGAGCCAGTCACAATATGAGAGCTCAGAACGAAAGTCGATCGTCAACTCCCAGGAAGCTTCCTGGGAAAGCAGGGGCCTCCCCACTACCCACTCGTGACACAGGGAAGCTGAATTGGTCTTAGTGTGGTTTGGAAGACAGGCTCTGAAAATAAGTCTGACCTCTTAGGCGTATAATAATCCTTCTTTAATCCTTGCAGCCTGGAGTTACCAAAGAAATACAATCTCAGCGTAGATACTAAGACAACGATTGTTTGCCATTCTCAACATTTCTGCAGGCCCATCCTGCACCCCAATCACTTCCTTGCTCTAGATCCTTAATTCCCTTCCTGCAGTGTCTAATGGGGTGTATTTCTCGCTCTCACTCTTTCCAGATTATCTCCTGCTGGGATATTTTAATTCTGTCCCAGTTCCCTATGTGATCGAATCTCTACCGCGGCACCTTGGAGTTACCGTAATGCCTCTCTTTTTACTTGTTAGAATCTAAATTCCCTGAGATAATCTACTCATGGGTCATACTCCGCTCACCTGGCTGTAGTCTGTACTTACCCTCCCTTTCTCTCCTCGCGCATTCAGTGACACAGTCTTACATCCTAAAAGAATGATATTCGAAACAGGGTATCAATTGCAATGAGAAGACACCCACAAAACTTGCCATAAAATAATAAATTATATTTAAACAACATGCACTCCAGAATATGGTGTCACTTACCATGACCCTCCTTCTACCAGGCTTTGAAAACAATTTTATTTTTATTTATTTATTCATTTATTTGCAGGGGGTTTTTTTGTTGTTTTTTTTTGTGGCCAGGGCCAGGTTTGAACCCACCACCTCCAGTATATGGGGCCAGTGCCCTACTCCTTTGAGCCACAGGCGCTGCCCTTGAAAACAATTTTCCAACCACGTTACGATCTTCACTAGAGAATCACCCTGCTACCTTACAGCAAGGCTTCTTGTTTTAACCAGATAGGTATTAGTCACTTAATTCACTAGACCTTTATGGCCAGATTTCCTTTGATCGTTTTCACAGTTCACAGCAGTTTTTAGGACATGAAAATTTGCCCCACTAAGGGATTTCATAAGAGGGCAGGGCCTATCCTTAAAACAATTCTGAAGGCGAATTCAAGCTTGTTTTGGAGGAATGGTCGCTAGATTAAAATAAGCGTACAGTTCCCGAGTACTTTAGAAAGGAAAACTCCTTTTTGGATGGGTAAGGTCTCCTTTTTCTGGCAACAAAATTGAACTGACTGTTTTATAATCACATCGTAAGAGGCAACTCAAAAGTTCTATTACCTGACTTAAACTGTGTCCTAGTACATGGCATGCTAAAAACTTTTAATCTGTGGAAAACAACGCTCTTAAAAATAACAATATGTCTTCTTTGATTATCTGTAGGTCTCTCCCCAGTAAGCAGGAGCTACTGGAATTTGCTCAACTTGGCAGTTACTTGGAATATGATCTCTTTGGCACTGAACTCCTTAATTACCAACTCGACCCGGATACTGACATGCCAGATGATAACAAAAGAATTAGACGGTAAATATGATGAAATCTCTCAGTGTTTCCTTTCACGAGCCCTTTTTGATTATCCTATCTGGGTGAGTATTGGCCAAGACTCAGAAAACAGTGAGCAGGTTGAACCACAGACTTGCAGAGAAAAATATATCTATGCTGTTTTCAGGGAGAAAATCTCTACATATTATTTCAAGGAGAAAATGAGTCATTCTAAGTAGGCTAAAGCTTAGCAGAGCCTTACAAGTTCAGCGCAGATGGGCAGCTAACAGGAAACACAGCTGATACCCAGCCCCTGCCATAACAATCAGAGAACAAAAGGTGTTTCCCTTCTTTTACCCCTAATAAAACAGGCTGCTTCTTTTCCCATCTTGATCATACTTTCACAATTAATATTTGAAATACTATATTAAAGGTATTCATTAGAGGAGTGATTACAACTTAAATGTTAGAAAGATTAGGTCTGAAGATCGAATATCATATAACATGCATCTTCCAAAAATTGCCCAAAGCTGATGATTATTGGAGTCATTTTTTGCAATCAGGTGGAAATGTGAGGAGTCAAGCTAGTTATTTGTTGGGTTTGGTGTTGAGCAAATGATAATATGAAAATTGAATAAACCAAGTTAGGAAATCTGAGCTGAGGGCCAGGTGGCTCATGCCCTTTAATTCTAGCATTTTGGGAGGCTGAGCCAGGAGGATCACTTGAGGCCAGGAGTTGAGACTAGCCTGGACAACACAGCAAGACCCTGTCTCTACAAAAAGTTAAAAACAAATTAGCTGGGCATAGTGGTATACACCTCTATTTCTGGCTACTTGGGAGGTGTGCTTGAGCCTAGGTGTTCAAAGCTGTAGTGACTGCACTACTGCACTCTAGCCTGGGTGACAGAGTAAGACCTTGTCTTGTAAAAAGAAAAGAAAAAGAATATCTGGGAGGAGAAATAGATTTGGAACTGACAAGGAAGACTTCAGTTTGAGAGGATGTACGCATTGCTATTCACTGGGACCCTAAGATAAGGATGCGAAGCTCAGGATAGAGATTAGGGCTGAGATATAAATCTAGACATCGTCCATTTGTATGTGATAGCTTGAACTGTGGGACTGAATGAGATCACTCAGAAGAGGAGGAGGACAGAGACCTGGGGACAGAGACATTTAAAAAATGGAATCACAACTGTCTCTCAAAGACAGGTCCAAAAGAAATTTTCAAAGTGATAATATCAGGGAAATATGTTGTTATTTGAAGTCAGTGGAGGGGAATCATCACAGCAGAAGGGCTTGGACACTTGTAATAGGTGGCAAATATCAAGCAAGACAAGGTTGGAAAGCAGCCATCAGATCCCACAATTTGGAAGCTCGCATTTTATAATAAGCTCAGTCTTAGTAGAAAAGGCTTGAAAAATGCACAGGCAGTGAGGAAGAGGAGGAAGGAAGAGGAGAAAGTGGAGGTGACTCTTTTAAGAATTGTGGTGGTCGAGGGAGGCAGAGGGGTGAGTCTGAAGCTGGAAGACAACACAGGATCCGGGGAGGCTTCTGCAAGAGTTCAGCAATATTTCCATAGCTAAGAGCAAAAGCAGACACAGCTAGAATGAATCCAGGGAGGGAGAGCCCATTCCTGGGCTTGCTATAGAATTTATACAAACAAAGTATGCCTGGTTTTTAGCTGAGTCCCTGGCGCAGAATATGGGAGTGTTCGATGAATGGTGACTTAAAAAAAATCTGGACAGATAAGAAACTTAGAGCAAGACTCCTAAGGAAACAGAGGGCATCAGGGGAGCAAATAGAAAGTCGGCTGAAATAAAAGAGCACAAAACAAGCAATGGTATGAATTCAAATCAATGTCTCAGCAAAGGGAACAGGAGACTGAGAATATGTGGCCGGGCGCTCGCTAGTACCCCTGTGAGATGGGCCTGGCTGTCTCCTGAGAAACAAGGAACGGATTTAGGACAGGACAGGTGGAGTAGAATGGGAATGGGAATGGCAGCCAGGGGAACGGGAGATACACAGACTAGAACGTGTTATGTGTAAGACCCAGTTGAGGCTGGAAATCACGATTGGCCGCAAACCATGTGTTGTGGTGATGATTTTCCAAAATGATAGCTTGTGTTTGGTAGTAGATCCAGAGAAACTTAGTGGGTAGAAGCAGAAATGAGAGCAGTTGAAGGGATTGAGGGTTGAGACCCTATCTGAACGGTGAAGTTTATAGCCAGGGGAACAAAGGAGGGGGGTGAGGGTCTGGGGTCCAAGCAGGAGGGAAGAAACTGTAGAGGGGATACAGGCAGATTTGTATGAATAATGTAGCAGGGAGGGCAACTGGAGGCTTTAAGGAAGTGGGTGGCTATATATGAATGGTAGAAGAGGTAACAGGATCAGAATCGCAAACTGGAGATTCGAGGTTTCAGAATGAGAGCGTTTCTCCATGATGACAAGGACCAGAATATGGCTATGTGTGCAGAAAACACATGGGAAATTGTGGACGGAAGTAGCAAAGCTGGCATTAAGAAGTGATGTCTGGAAATTGTGAGGCTCAAGGATTGGTAGCTGAGCACACACACACATTGGAGTTGGGGGGAAGATCTTGAGCCCGTGGTCCTACTTGCAACATCCATGGATCTTTCCCCAGGGAAGTTAACCTTTATGTCTGAGTAGCTCCTGCTGCCTCCGTGGACTGGCATTCCTCCCTGAGGACCTCATTAGCAGCTAATTATGCTTTAAGTTTAGTAGCAGCAGAGAGCTAGTTTGTCCAGTGAGGTGAAGGCTATGTTAACCAGTTTGATGGAAGCATTTGTCAGTGTTATGCTAGTCACCTCAGGGGGTGGCACTCAGCTCTCTGTGAGCAGATTGCTTCCATCACCTTGGCTAGTGAAGCTAAGTTTGTTTTGTTTTTTGTTTTGGGGGAGTGCTACTCAAATCAGTTCTTTGACAAACAGATTGATTCTTGCTTTCTGATTTTAATTTACTTGCTCAAGAACACCATCTAATACAGGTGAACAGGTTTCTCTAGGGCCTGGGTAGTTTGTGCCACACTCAGGGGTGGATGTCCTTTGCCTAAAGGCATCTGGGAGTGAAAATGGTGTGGCGGGTGGGTCATTCTCATCTTTCACGATCTCACAAACATGATTTCCTGATGAATGGCCTCAACACGAGTCTTACGATTTATTTTGGAGATGGGAAGTTTGCACTCAAAATCTGCTTCCTTTTCCTGAGCTTTTTCATGCTGGTCTGAACTCTTTATACCTTCCACGAGGCTCCTAGACCTTCTTCTGGAAGCAATCTGTAAAGAGGAATCTATGAAGGAGATGTGAAGGGTGGCCACTGCCTCCTCCAAGCATTTCTTCTTAGCTTCTTGGGGTATTTAGTTATCTTTTACTGTGCCAAAAGTAAAACATTCTGAATGTATGGAAATACATTAAAAATATGTGTATATATATAACATATTTTATATATAAATGTGTGTATATACATGATGTATGCATACTATTCCGTACATATGTATAAGCGTGTATATGTATGCTTCATCTTCCTTAAATTAAAACTACGGGTTAGGTCACGTGACCCAAGGACAGCTCCCGTTAAGAACCAGCTGACCTCTTGGGTCGCGTGTGCTCCAGGGCTGCACGGTCCCCCACCTCTTGTGCACTTCACCATCCGTCTGCAGTCCTTTTCTGAGCCATCTTAAAGCTCCGAAGAGCAAGAACCGAGAAGCACGCTTCTGCCTACCTCTGGTTTCAGCACCAACAATTCTGCGTCTAACACCTGTTTTCAATCTTCTGCTCCATTTCTCAAATCTTATTATATCTCTGCCTTTTCACACTTTGGAGTCTCTCTCTAATATTTGTTTGCAAAACACTAACTCATTTGTATTTCTATAATTACTGTGATTTTTTGTCTTCTCATCTGTAGCGGTGCCTCCCTGCTGGCAGCATCTCTGTAACTCCGGTTCTTCCACACAGTGGCATAACACAAGAGATGATCTCTTAGTTTTAGCATGACCAGGCAGGGTTCCTTGAGAGCCAGAACATAATTGGAGCCTCAGCTTTCCATTTTTCATGAGATAACTAGTCTCCAGAATCGTCATGCGTTCTACGGATTCCCATTTTCAAACAAGAGTATCTTGTTTGCTATATTCTTTCTTTACTACGTCACAATTTGAAACACAAGTTTCAAGCTACGACATGAGACATCTTACAGGAACTGGCTCATCCATCCGATCAGCCTTCGTAGCATGAGATTGCGTATTTCTCAGATGAGGAAAAGAGGCCAAAACTGTGGGGAAAATGCCCAGAAAATACCAGTGACAAAGTGTCCCCTACAAGGTCTTGTACTCCCTTTTGCCATCGGGAATCAAGATTTCTCAGACTAAGGTTTAGCACTGTGTATGCATTCTGCCAAATCTTCCTCCATTTTAAATAAGTAATAATATAATTCTCTCAGATAATTCCCTTAAATCAAGTGTGTTCCAAAAGGAACCCTTGCCCCTTGGAGCCCTGGCGCCTGAGACATCTGAGGGAGTTTTGACATAGATCAGAACTTTAGGACATAACACAAATGTCAACCAGGCAATAAACCTTAGTGGCACAAATGGCATTACATACACTTAAGGACAGGCGCAGGGAGCATGTGACATGGACACTGATTTCTAGACAAAGAGCCCAGGTTGGCTCTTCTGCTGTGACGCCCACATTCCTCTGATCTGCAGGTAAAGGTCTAATCTTCAATTATAAGTTATATTAAAAGGTATGTTCTCAGAGGGCAGGACTTGGAGGGTTTTGGGGGGGGCAGGGAGCTTACCTTTTGCTTACTGTCAATATTATTAAATATGACTCTTGCACTCAAATCCCAAGAAATGCTATGGAAACAGAAAGGATATCTTTCAAATAATCCACCTCTGGAGGAAGGCACTGTCCATCCACCTGGATCCACTTTAGAATCCAGACACACACAAGACTGTACAGAGAATCTCAGACAGGAGCCTTGCCTACAAATTGCATCTCCTGCCATCAGAGACCCCAGGAAGTCATGGCAGGCACTGCCCAGAGTCCAGACACTTACAGATGGTGGCTGTCAGGAGGTGACTCACACTACAGATTAGAGCACTTAACAAAGCAAAGAGGATTGCATTTTTAGATCATAGTCGGGAAGCTGTTCTTAAGTCAACTGACTATAAATTTAAAGGAAAAGCTTATTATTTTTAGAATTCTTGTTGACGTAGAAGGAAGACAGAATACATTTTTATTGGTCAAGGTAATCCAAAGCTCAGAGACTACAACCATGTCAAAATTCCTTTAGACTTCCAAGGGGCAAGTGCTCCAAAGACTGGAGTACCTTCGTCAACCCTGCCTTTTTTTTCAATGAGTGTGTAGCTTACCATATGCTTGTCACTCACAAACCAACTGATTTTACTTACAGAGTGTCTTACAGGAGGATTCCTTTTGTTTCCCTATTTAATCACAGACGCTCATGGATTTTATTTGCTAGGAGAGAACAGAGAACAGAGGTGAACTCTGAGAAATGGGCCCATTAAGAGAGGGATTTTAGAAAGGAGAATAGACATGCCAGATGCAAACCCAGAACAAAGTTATTTAGTGAAATGCCAAAGTGTTCATTCATTCAAACTGGCGTGTCCTATGAGGAGCTATCTTTAACACAGTATGGCGGAGCCTTGTCATACATACCACAGGTTGGACATTTCTGTATGCACGGAATAAGGATCGTGTCCCTGCTGGGGGCAGCGGTGTCTTTATCATCACCACACAATATTTATTAAAGGTTTCTCGGTACACGTGCCACAGTGGAAGGCAAATATCTTTATGACAAGCATAGTAGGTCGCTGAGTGAACAGTAGAAAGCACCCCAAAAAGCAAAAATGGGAGACAAAAGACGCCTGACGGGTTAACATTTTTCACAGGGTGCGTCTTCTGGTAGATGAAGGCTATGAAGATCGAATTCTGATGGCCCATGACATACATACGAAACACCGGCTGAGGAAATACGGAGGTCACGGCTATTCCCATATACTCAGCAACATTGTCCCTAAAATGTTACTTAGAGGAATAACTGAGGGCACGCTGGATAAGATTCTGGTAGAGAACCCTAAGCGATGGCTAACTTTCAAATAGGACGGTTGCCTTACGGTATTCACACCCTCGAGTATAAAAGTTGCAGAGAACGCTCAATGATTTCAAACCCACGGTGAGATATTAACCAGTTACTTCGTCACTGGTCATTTCCATCTGATGCGAATGAGAAGCCTTTGTCGTCCCCCAAACCAGCTGACTGTTATTACATCTGCACCTCCGGGGAGGGACTAAGCCTAATTGACCTCTTATAAATTTTGCCTTAACAAAATAAACACAGAAGTACCTATTTCTAAACAACGATTTTAAAGTTTATAACCCGTAAGTGGCATTGATTTGGGGTGTTTTTTAGTCTATTAGCTGCACTGCGTGAAAAAATTTAAAGTGTTTCTAGTTGAATTATTCCCTTCTCGAGCAACCTAATGTTCTTGTAATATTGATGATCCTACTAATTATTCCACTGTTCTTTAATTAATGCTTAATGAATAATATGGCACTTTCAAAGAGCTTCTGCAGCAAGGGAAGTTAAATTTTAAGACTTTTTCCCCCAATGGATTACTGTAATACACATCAATTCACAATGATAAAAATATTTTGAAAGGTTAATGTTTTGCTGTCCACCTGTCTCTCTAGCCTTATAATAAATCAGTTTCGATGCCTTTGGCGTTGTGGTCTCCATGCTTGCCACAAATTTGGTTTTGCGAAGTTTGTACGAGAACATAGAACAGTACTGAATTATAAAAATTCAATCATAAAAGTCAAAATATATTACATAATATTGTTTAATGAATCATCACATTTATAATAACAAAGGCCACAAGTTAATTAATTGGTAAGATATGATGCAAAAAAAGAGAAATGTTTGCCTTGTATATATATTCCCTTTATTTCCTTTACCTCTTGCTTTTCCTTGGGCCTAAAAAGAGAAAAATAATGCTTCTTTATCTGAAGAAAAGGTCAGATCTCTTGGAAATGACAGCCTGCTTTTAGGACCTACTCTTTAAAAGATATCCAGCCCAGATATTTTGTGTAAATAAAGCCTTTCTAAAAACTCCCAGTTAAAACACTTAGTTGATGTACGCTACTGTTTCTAGATTAATCTTTTGCTTGAATCCTCACTACATTTTTTGGTACTTTAAAAACATTCTCCAAACCCTTGCTGCCAATTCCTCTTTGATAAATATATATTGTTAAACTGAAATAAAATCCACCGCAATTCATTTATGAGTTATCTTACATATTAGAAAGGCCAGTTAGAATTAGTCCTTATTCTTGATGAATGGGCTGTATTTAATCCTATAAATCAGGGCAGTTACTCAGACTAAAACATTTAAATGGAGGAAAGAACACCTTCACCTGGGAACACCCTGCATCACTCTTGGGAAAGTCAAGCTTTGCTAAAGAAAAGATATTTCTGTTGATCAAAGATAATCAAGCTTTCCGAGTATTAGAACAGAAAGTACCAAAGAGGAATGAGCCCGGAGAACAAACTAATTCCTTTAAATGAAAAAATGCAAATGTCCTTCACCAGGAAAACAAGTAGATTTTTCCATCTCTGCTTTTGAAATCCACTTGTCAAAGAGTTTTCAAAGGCAACGGAAAGGAGAACAGCTTTTTCATTGTAACAGTGGAAGCTGGGCGAGAGTTAGAAGATATCAACATGCATTTTTAATCTTCCTTGAAGAGATGGCTTTTGGCAGTGGGTTTTAACCAGAGAAAGGATTTGTATGACTCCCCAAATCTACTATACTGTCACCTTTGCTCCACCCAAGAAAAAAGAAAACATCGGTAACTCAAATGCATGTAATTCGTAAATACTGCAAAGGAGACCCACTTGGTTTTTGCAGTCCTGGAGCTAACAGTCTGCCATAGAGTGCAGTTAAGGTCATTGGCGTATGTTGATAAAGCAATCATATCCTAAACTTATAGACAGGTGAGGTGCAGGGCTTTTCATACCTAAGAAAATTGAATTTTCTGGATAACTCTTAAAGAGAAGTCATTCATTATTTCGCGAGGCCCTATATTTTTGTTTGTGAAAATATATTGCAATCCAAAATAAGTAAGCTAATTTATGCAAGTGTGTGTATATGCATACGCTTTTTAAAATTAAAATTTTGAGGGGATAGAGCCACTGGGCCTTATGGAACTAAAGCCGTATATATATATTTTTTACACATATAAAACATTTCATCTAATATATGTGTGTGTGTATGTAGCAGATATTTGTATAAAATATAAACACTTTGTTGTCATATTGGTTATATGTGAAATTGGTAATTTTGACATAACCTCAGGCCCGAGACTTGCAGTGACTATTTAAAGGCCTTACCTAGTGTCCCCTTGGCGACACGTGCAGTAGCTCAAATTAAACCTTTGTGCATTGGGTTATGAATAATCTTTCGTGCCAGAGAAGGAAAAAAAGCCTCAGTTTGATTTAATAACTAAAGAATCAATTTCTCGATTTCCAAGTAAATCTGAATGTATTCAGTGGACAAAATGGACGCACAAGGGATTTCCTAAATTCCATACGTAATTACACATTTTTCACAGTTAGAGGGTAATCCTATGATACAATGTCAATCTCTATTTTCAAAGACTATCACTAGAAAAAGAGAGGAAAGAAAAATACCTAAGAAAAAAGAAATGAGATAGTGACCACAGACTTGGGAATTCCCTCAAATCCAGAAAATTCCAGGTTAAGGCTTGAAGTTGAATCCTTCCCAGGTCTAGCTCTAAAGAGTCCAAGGCAAACAATTTCTTTGGGGACAAGCAGCATTATTTCAATTAGACTTTCTCCTGCAGGGCAAAAAAAAAAATCAAATCTTCCCCACACTATGACTGGACTCCAAGTACCCTAAGTAGCAGGTAAACTCACAAGAACCAAAGCTGACATATGGATAAAAGCAGCAAGATCACAGTACACCAAAGTATTATATATAGAGAAGAAATAATTCAGTGTCTTAGATTTTTCTATAAAAATCTGTGATCTATATAGAACTTCATTCACATGGACACTACGAACAAGGAGTATTTGCTTTGGCGGTAGAGGATCACACATCTGTTTATCTTGCTTTTCTATTTTTTACATAATGTTTCTGAGTGGTACAGATGTGAGTCAGGTAGCATATGATTTCCCCACATATACACAACTGAGGTGCCCTGCCATCGGCATCCCCCGGGATCCTTGATTCACTGACGTTAGCCACACGAATCCAGTGTTCAGACTCGGAACGGGAAGCTCGGTTTCTGCAGTCTCAGTCAGCATAAATGATAAATCCAGAAAACGTGCTGTATTTGTTGTTGTTTCCTCCGTGGGCTTTCCCGCCATCTAATTTGATATAGACTTCGTCTCCGGGCTCCAGATGGAGAACCACACTGTTACTGGCGTAGTCGTAATTCTGATCAGCATCTTGGGCAATTGCACTAGCACGCACCTACGGGAAACAGACAAGAATTAGAACGCACAGAAGAGAATTCTCAACTTTTCTTTGTCATTCACGCAGCATCCCAAGTGGACTTTCTGCCATAGCCTGGGAAGTCCACCTTGACCTTACAGCTTGAGAAGGTTATCTCTGGAACAGTTTCAAGGATATTAGTGAGAAGGCGTGACAGCAGTCCATTCTAACCATACACTGGAAGCAAAGCATACAATCTATTCTCTTCCCACCTCATTCATTTTTCTCATTCCTTGAATCCCTATGCTTTTTTATTTTGAAGTTAAAGTTTTTTTTTTGCATTTTAAATAAATTAGCTACAGTCTAACCAGCAGTTTACGAATGCAAAAATTCAAGTCCAATTTCAGTTGGTCACTACACTTATTAGAAAATTGAGATCTAAATAATAGACTAAAAACCCAGGCAAATAGCAACTTTTCTACTATATAAAAAGAAAGAAAGAAAAAGGAAGAAGGCCCTTTGACTTAAGGCTGTAAAAATCTAATTGCAGTAAAGCCCCTTTTCTCAACTACTTCAAAAGTTGAACTCATTAAACATCCTTGGTTCTATCACCCAAGTCTTCAGAACCCAGTTTCCATGTGGACCTTTTAATCACCTAATTATGACATGCACATTTAAAGCAACAATTTAATCTCACCATATGTAAAAGTTATAGAAGCAGCTAAATGTCCATGATTTGAGATCTCTCCAATTTCAAGAATTTTCGGTGATCTCACTGAATGTCCTTTTCTATCCACTCCATTCTAAACATGTGGTCTGTTTGGAGGAGGGAGGTGGCTTATAATCTGCTCAAGTCGAGCCTGTGATCTCATTAGTGAGTTGATGGACATTTGTGAACAAATTGTTTATCATCTCGGGTTACGTGGACATTCTGTCAGATTTTTGGCTCAAATTAAGCTTCGTATTCATTTAGATATATTTTTATTCTCCCTTGGAAAAATCTTTCAATAAGCAGACTTGCATTTGACTTATGTCAGGGAAACATCTCCTACTTTGTGGCTTGTGTCTATTCCACTACAATGATATTCCTCCGAATCACAGTGCCATGTGATTGAGTGAGTTTGTAAGCTGTACTATGTAATAATGCGTAACTTGGGGCACAATATGCTGGATTTTATCACTTGGCAAAACGAGAGAAATGAGACATAAGTCAAGAATCTCCATGCATTTCTTTCAAAATTTAAATGCTAGGTTTTCAAATTAAATTTTCATGGGATACATTCTCACATTAATGCTGAAATGTTAAAAAAAAATGAGAAGACTCTTGACACTGCTGAACTTTAATGTCATTTGAGTAGTATTTTAAAGATTTTCTTTCTGAGTATCATATAGCCAAAGGAGAAAAAAGAATTGCTTAACGCTGGGCTAACTGGCATAATATAATGAAAGCAATGTACCATGTAACTATGCTTAGAAGCATTGACACCAATGTATACACCGATTTAGTGAAGTGACTCATTTTGCCCATTAAATAACAACACAATTTAATTTCATAATATTTCCTAGGATGCTTTGATTCATTAATTTCACCTAGTCATTAATTACCGGGGGGGGAAATAAGTATAAAGAGAATGTTGCATTATGACTTTTTTAATGTATGGCTTTTTAATGCGTAAGGATATTAAAATACGAAATCTTAATTAGCTATATTGGTAATACATCACCTGATCCTATATATTAATTGATTATCAAGCCACAGTCTACTTCTCAGCTACTACTAATAACCAGACACGTTTGCGTCAATGCTTTGGGTATTTATTGCATGTTCTATGGGGGTTGGGTTTTAACATTGCTTTCTACGTGAAAGCATTTAGGAACCAAGACACATTAAAATCACTTGATGCAGAGATATAATCTTTAAAAATACATAATGAAGTTATTATCCTCCAGGGTATAGCCACAAATGCAAGTGAACATCAGTTACCATTTTTATTCAGTCGGTGTAACCGCAAAAACCTGGGAATGCATTAGAGTGATTCCACAGACTAAAAGGTTAGCCTTTCGGTTTTGCCAGCATGGATGCTTTTCAATGAAAGTAATTCTCTAAGATTTTAGCCTATACAGCACCATAAGACTTTCTCAATTAAATAACTGCCATACTTCATTGCACTTTACACGATTTTTAGTATGCCTATTTGCCTGATTATACTCTAAAAGTATATTAGGACTTGAAATTTCAAGCTCCTGTATCCAGCTCTGTGACTTCAGCAATTCTTTCAAGCCATCAAACTATTGCAGAAGGTAATGTGTTCACCCTGAAGGCTATTTTCAGCTTCCTAAATGTACACCCATTTCAGCATTTTGTCTGGGAATATGATGCATCCTTTCCTTGGCCCAAGATCCCTATTTCCACCTAAATTTATTCGAATATTGCTTCTTGTTATATGTTAACTATGAAGATTCTGATTTAACTTTAGTTCACTACTCCTAAAAATATAATTTACTTGACATATCATTAATCTCTCTAATATATCAATATCAGCCCACAAACGATTCATTCTTGTTAGTATATTTTATCTTCATTGATGCCATAACTAATACATTCTTAAGAGTAAAATTTGGTCTTTAATTACTTTATAGTTTTAATCATGAGCCAGGTTTGGTTTTTATTAAAGAGCCTTATTATAGTGATTGCACTCAAATAGCAATTTTTTTTTAGGTTTCCTACTATAAGTATACAAATATTAAAAATATTTCCTGCATCTCATGTAAAGCTTTTTGAGTTCAGCTCTTACCTTTAATATGCACTGTCATGGGCTCTCAACAAATGGTGAGATTAAATTTAGGCGGATGGGTTCCCGGGGAATATGAGAACTGCGGTCCTTTTAGTGATGTGTTTTTGAGACTATAATTGGTTGTACAGCTTTAACATTATCTTATTAGTGAGAGTTTATCATTAGAGACGCTATGGATGGTAACATTTGCTAATTTAATTAATTGCTTCTAATGTTCTCCTAATTTCATTTTCATTGTACTTCTGTGGAATCATAAACAAAAGGTTAAGTGTGGCACATCACGTTAATTTGCTGGTCTTTGATGTTTCCATCTGTGATCTTAGGTTCCACACAAAGCATAAATAAAACGGCTCTCCTATGGTTACGGTACAGAGGTATTGCTCTTTCCTACAGTGAAATGCTTTTTTAGTTTAATTTTTATGCTTCTCAAAATCCACTTAATCCATAGAACATTACACTGACATGAATCTCTGGGTTTGTTTTATGAAAACAAATTAGGTCAGCTCAGAGGGGGAAACTGTCACGCTAAGAAGTGATCAGATAGGAGTGTAATTGGAAATCAAGGATAAAGTATTTATTTAAAATTAATAAAAAGAGATTTTAGGAGATTTCTCTTTTGTAACTGCCTGCAGATCAGACTTTACAAAGTAGTGCTAGAGATGAAATTCCTTGATAGTGAGAGTGTAATAACCATTTTCTAAAATAGTCTATGCTGAACTCAAAAATATGTTGTTCCTCACTAGGTATTTATTCTTCTCAAATACCTGTTGCACACTTCTGCAGAAGTAGCAGCTTCATATTGTCAGTGGAAAACACGAGAAATTATAAAGTCAGCTGCTGTAACTAATAATTTTTCCTGAGCCTCATGAAACGTGTAGGTTAGGGTGACACAAAGGAGCATTTTATGCCCCAAATAATGAAATAATCTTTAAAACAAAATGCACATAGAAACCCCCTATGGAATGATTTTCTTGGAATCAGTGTTAAATGCATGAGCTTAACAGCTCATAGACATCAACATTTCCATGAATTTGAATGGATTAATCCCTGGTTTTTCATGCAGTTGAGATTTTGAGGTATTTAAAGACCTGAGCATTTTTATGTATTTGCTGATAAAACTGGGATCTTATTTCCTATTACGTGATGCCTCTAAAAATAATCCCTTTAGCCTGATGGTATTTTCCAGACCTAACCTTTGAGAAAAAAGAGAGCCAATTTGTAAATAAGGGGGTGCGTGGCAGCTGCCTGCTGTGGGGGCCATCCACGAACCATTCTGTTAGGGTGATACAATGGCTCTATTCTGGTACAATGAGTCATACCGGGTTTAGCCATTTGCCTAAACTACCCCACTGCTTTGTGAATAATTTGTATTTATCTTAATATTATTTTCGTGCATAACGACTATAATAAACAACTCTGCCAGTGCCTCCTGGTGGCCATTTTTCCTCGTTTTGTTCTGCACGTCCTGAGGGTCCCTTAAGCTATTTGTGGGAAAGGATGGAGCCCGACTCTCTGGCACACACATTTAGGACAATAGTGTTTCATTTTGAAAGAATTCTGACACTGAATTAGGTCTTTGGCGCAAATTCTGCTCTAATGGTGCTAAATAGAAACTTTGATTATATCTAAGAAGGTCTGAATTTTCAGGGAACGAGTTACCTGAATCCCCATAGCCCTTGTTAAGGCAAAGTGGTTACAGGAGAGGAGGCCTGTGATGGGGGTGGTGGGGTCACGCGTGCCATATTCTTTGCCACTCGGTAAGCAAAGTTAAAGCCCAGAAACTTGGCTCACAGCACAGGCTGCAAGGCCTCGCCCCAGCAGCTGCTAATTCTGCGTGTACAGAAGGGCCGATTGATTACACTTTTAGTTAATTACAAGTTATCGTTTTCCTCCTCTAAGATCAAACAAGCTTCCTTGGCTTTTGCAATGACTGCGAATTTCTCCCCGGTAAAGTGGCCCCCCGCACAACACCCCGGTGGCCCTCCTGGCAGCGCCGACCAGCTCAGAGGAGCAAGTCCTCCTGGCCAGCTGCTTAGCCGGGAAGCCCACACCTCCGACGCCGGGATGCTGGGCTCAGAAGGTCATCATCCCCCACCCGGGGTCAACCTCCCGTGCGCCTTCCTACTCCACCGACTCTTGGAGTTTGGCGGTGCGTTTGGCTGCGTGCTGTGTTCCACAGCTGTAGACCCCGACTCTCAACTTTCCCTTTTGTTATCAGCATTCCTTGTCTCTCCCTTTCTCCTCCAGCCGAAAACTAAACTAGAGTTTGCGTTTTGAAACTGACTATATGCGAGTTTCACCGCCCGGGACTAAGCCAGGGCTCTAAGACCGCTGGCCCCACGGTCCCAGCTCCTGCAAGGATGCGACCCGCTTGGATTCACTTCTCGGGGCCCTTCTTTCTCCCTCGGGCCCTCGTTCCTCTCCCCAGAGTTGGTCGCCCAGGCACGCCCATTACCGGCTTCCCTAACCCTCTCGGTCCCGGGGAAAGCCTGTAAGCGACCCTACGTTGCTGGGGACACTACGGCCAGGAGTTGCTTTCTGCTCCAGGACTCCCTCAGTGCACAAGCCGTCCCTGGGGACCAAGGAACAGAGCTCCCAGCGTCCAGCCCCTAGAGGGTCGCGCTCACACCCTCGCAAACCTGGAGAGGGTCCTGGACTCCCGCGCCGCCCTCTCCAGGCCGAGGAGCGCCCTCCGCCCGTACGACCCCCGCCTCTCCAGGGTGGAACAGCGTCCCCCCTCGCCCGCGGTCGTTCCAGGGGACCTGGCAGCCGCGCCCTTCCTCCGCAGACTCCCACCCCCATTTCCGGGGTCTCCTCCCTCTCGCTCGCACCTTCCAGAGCTCCCTCCCGGTCCCCCCCTCGCCTGCCCGCACTCACCTGGTTGTTTTTGCAGAGATCGGCCCACATGCTGGTGCCGTCCCCTCCGCGCATCAGGACGTGGTAGGTGAAGAAGTAGATGCCCGGAATGGAGCAGGTGAACTTGCCGGTGGTCGGGTCGTAGTGGTTCCCGAGGTTGGTAACCACGTCGTCGAACTTGAGCACCTCGTAGCCTTCGTGCTGCCGCTTGAGGCCGGCGTAGAAGGCGATCTTGGGCACCGTGCTGTAGGTGGCGGCGCTGATGGCCCCGGCCGCGTTCAGGCCGGGAGCCCCGGGCGGGCCCGGCAGGCCTTGGCGGCCCGGCTCGCCCTTCTCGCCCGGGGGCCCCACGGGGCCCGGCGGCCCAGGCTCACCCGGGGGCCCGCGCGGACCCGCCTTCCCCGGCCGGCCGGCCTCGCCTTTGGGGCCCTGGATGAAGGTTGGCAGGGACTGCATGAGGCCGCGGTCCGGCGTGGCGGCCGTGCTGGGCGCCCTGGTGCCCCCGTAGGGGTCGCAGACCATGCGGCAGGTGCCCAGCATCTCGTAGTGCGCCGACGTGCCGGCCGAGCTCACCAGCACCGGGATGAGGATGACCAGCAGCAGCACCATCACCACCCCCAGCGCCCCGGCGGCGATCAGGCGCCTCCTGCTGCCCACCAGCCGGCTCAGCGCGGGGCGATCCTCTTGTCTGCTTTTGGACAAAATTTTGAAGGTTGGGCGGGGACCTCCTCAGAGCCGAAAACAACCCCCTGCGAACCCCAAGTCCCCTGGGCGGGCGCGCGCCGGCCGCTCCTGCCCGCTCTGGCTCCCCCCGCTGCGGTGCGGCTGGGGAGGGAGGTCGAGCGCCAAGTGACTTGAGCTGAAGTCCCGAGCCGGGGGTGGGGGCGGGGGAGGGTGCGCAGGGCGCCCTGTCGCCTCCCGCGGGCCCCTTCGCACCTGTGGCTGTCACCGGCGCGGCCACCCGGAGGGCAGAGCCAGCCGCCTCTGCCGCCGCAGCTCGCGCTCGCCGGGGCCGCTCACACTTTTATGCCGCGGCCGCCCGCGATCGACTTTTCCGTTTTTGCAGACTGCGCCAGTTCGCACCAACTTTCCGTCTGAAGTTGCCTTTTTCTGCCTCCTCCTCTTCTTTCGCTCGCTCACTTCGCCCGTCCGTGCCGGTGGTGTGTGCGCGCGCCTGGGTGTGTGTTTTTTTCTTCCTCCTTCGCAACCACCACAACTCTAATACAGGCGCACCCCAAAGCCCCAGAGCCCGGGGCGGGCGGCCCCCGGGAGCGCCGGGGCGGTGGCGGCGGCGGCGGGCACGGTCGGCTCGGCGAGGTTCGGGGCTGGAGCCGAGGAGCTGGCGAGCCGCGGAGAGCGCCTCACGGCTGGGAGCGAGCGGAGCGACAGAGAGACTGAGCGCAGAATTCTGCCTGGGTACCACCTGCCAGGAGGAGAGGAGGCTGACAAACGCGCGCCGGAGCAATTTATAGGCACCCAAGGCACAGAGGAAGGGGAGCCGCTTGGCATCTCACCGCAGCATCTGCTCTGCGCATCCCACTCACAGAGTTTGGCATTACTCTGACAATGTGGGATTTTTTTTTTTTTTTTTTTTGCCTCTCTTTTTTCCCCCTCTCTGCACATGGATGAACAGTGAGGTTCTGAATACTCCCTTGCTGAACCAGGCTATGGCAGCGCTCTTTCTGGACATACCTGGGGGAGGGAGACAGCCGTGCGACAGTCTTCAGGACTCGAGGGTCACACCCGAGTCCCTTAGGGCCCCACTGCCAGCAACCTCAGTTGTAGGGGTGGGGTGAAGGTTGAAAGGAGAGCGGCTTGCTGGACAATATTTCTTTGCTGGCTCGCCCATAATCGGTGCTTCAGGTGTTTTTCAAAGTGCCACATTTAACAGCATAAGGAGGGCCCTTTAGAATTTTCCAGACGGTACATGTTATTTTTTTTTAACCTTATGGTTTTCCTTCCCGGCCTTCTAAATGAAATAAGATATTAACCTGAGAACAGTAAGGTGTGTTGGAAGACCTAAGGACGTTTCTCAATGATTTTCAATGGGCATGCCCACATAATGGCGGGAGGGGTGGTTCTTTGTAGGAAGGCTGCACCATGGTGAATGCATACGTGTGCACTCTACTTACAGGCTTGCAATTCCAGCAACCTTTCAGGAGATAGAGCCATGGGACCTGAAGTTGCATTTACTTAAAGGTGCAACAGATGAGAAATAAATCATTTGCCAAAGTGCCATCAAAAGTCTTAAGATCAAGCAAGCGGTGTTTACACCAGGTCTCTTCCTAATATATGGAAAGAATTCTATAAGCTCCATAGCAGATTTCCCAAATGTTCCTGGGGCGGCGGTTAGGAAAACTATGAGAAAGAAGAGGCCCCCATCCCCAGTAGGTCAGCGGGAGAAGGAACAGCCTGGGTTGAGAATCGTAATGGGACAACACCCCCTCCCCAGGTAGATACTGGCTAAGCTATCCCACCAACAAATACAGAAGACACACAAGAACAGCTGTAAATAAATAAGTGGAATTGATTTCTAAATCATATTTCTGCATGCAGGAGCAATGGATGTCAATCAAACATGGGTGACATTTGCTTGTCAATACAGGGATGATGGCTGGGAAGACGGTGACTTATTACAGCAGGGCGAGCATCTGAAATGAGAGGCAGGAGCAAATAAGACTATACCCAGCAAACAATAACATCCTCCGGGCTGGTGAGCAGCCTGTGATCTTGTCTGCAGGCTCCATGGCACGGACACCCCCTCCCCCACTCCGCCAGTTCAGTTCTTTCCCTCTCTGTTTCCAAATGGAATAAGGTCAAATGAGAAGACAGAAGGAAACAAAGATTCATTGATTCTTTTTAAGAGAAATGTCAGGAACTCCTTTAGTTCTTGACCTAGAGATTCAACAAGCCCTGTGCTGTGTGGCTCAGCCAGGTGGGGTCTCCACATCCTCTCCATCCACCTGGCTGCTGACACAGCCGCAGCCCCTGGTACTTGAAAACAGTCTTCCCACTTCCCAAACCTTTAACTTTTACTTTAAGGTAGTGGTTTCTGGTAATGTGCCTCTATTTCTTGGGCATAATCACACATGAACTTCTGTAGTATTTTTGTTCACACGCACTGCCTTATTTTCATCTTTTAAAGCAGCGAACACATAGTTAACGTCTCTCCTGATTCTATCTGCTTCCTCCCCAACATTCCTTCTCAAAAGTCTCCTTTCCTACCATAAAGTGGTAAGGTCTGTTGGTGGTATGTTAATGAAATAAACTGTTCTCTGATAGACCAAATTATCGAAATTCAGAAAGCCTCTTTATTGCTAAGGAGAGTGCAGTAACGGATACAAAGGGATATTTTTAAAAAGTAGAGATGTATAAATAAATTCTCAACAAAACATCAAGCTACGGGAAGTTTTCCCACTGGAGAATGCTCGTCTCACAGAGGAACACATCGGGGACAGCATGAAACATTAGAGTTGACAGGGACCCCAGAAAGCTGGTGTCTCCCCTGCTCATGTCTGTGGTGAAGCTGAGGTGCAGGTCTTTGAGGGGAATCAGAGCCATCCAACGAGCTTCCTGCTACACTTCCCTCTGGGCAATATTGGCACCTCCTGTCCAAGCCCAAGACTGACCATCCTGGTCCTCAGAGTTGAGGTTTTCTTTTGTTTCACTCTCTGATGCCAAAGCAAATTTGATTTTGCAAGTGAGTGCTCTCACATTGCAAAGCTCTGCTGAGATTTAGGAAGGGCTCAGTAGTCATCCCTCATGATCAAGGCATCTTCTCCCAGGCCACGTGCTCACGCTAGACTTTCTATCAAGTGCACAATTTGGCTTTTCAGTGAAGTAAGATTAAATGATTGCTTTCCATCCCCTCCTGTAGAAATGCCCCACCATGCAATGTGGGGGAAACTTTTTGTCCCCTCCCACCCATCCCGCCCCCAAGATTTTCAGGGATGACTTGGTGGCAGATGAACTTGTGGCTGATTACTGCCGCTTTTCACTGCTTGAATTTCCCAGAAGGTTCTCTGGAAAGTTACTCACGCTTCAGCTCTTGTTCTGACAGTTTGAATCAACCATCTGATATGGCATATTACTCATCACCCTTATATGTATATAATAATAGAAAATGTGTCAATTTAAAAAATATTTGATGTTCTTCAGTGCTCATCAGAGAACCAAGTTTGCTTTCATATTTGATATTAATCTTGGAAGCAGGGCTGAAATCTCATTTCCACAGCGTCTCCTAACCATATCTCAAATAAGAAAACACACACATACACACATGAAAGAAACATCAGAGTCTGTATTCCTATTTCTTCTGCATCTGGGCCCTTGGGACCCCTTCGGATGACAAAGTCCAGTCCTTTAGAAACCCAGGAATAGGGCTGGGTGGTGACAATGATAGTCACATGTTTCCAGCCTCCCCACACCGTTTCTGTCCCTTTCAGAGAGCTGAGCGGATCCTGAGCATGCGACTCCCACACAGCCGTGCATGGCTATCCATTAATCTTTATCGAGTACCCACTGAAAGCTTAGCCCTACGTGAGGCTCTCACTAGGCAAACAAATATTTAGTCATGAGAATGATTTCCAAATCCAGCAGCACTTAAACAGAAATAGCATTTCTTATGAAAAAACACACACACACAAACCAACAAACCCAAGAGCTATTTAAAAGAAGCAGACATTAAAACATTGATCTTGCAATTCCATTACTAGGTATCTACCCAGAAGAACAAGAACCATTTCACAACAAACACATGTGCACCAGGATGTTTGCTGAAGCCCAATTCATAATTGCCAGATCATGGAAGAAGCTCAAATGCCCATCAACCCATGAATGGATTAACAAACTATAGTATATGTAGACCAGGGAATACTATTCAGCCATAAAAGAAGATAGAGACTTTCCATCATTTATGTTTACCTGGATGGCAATGAAATACATCCTTCTTAGTAAAGTATCTCAAGGATGGGGGTTTTATCCAATGTGCTCAATATTATTATGAAAACACACTCTCTTATGAATGATAAAACACAAACACAGTTTAATGGGGGGAAGGAGGGGAGGGGGAGGGGAAGTGAGCAGGTGTTTGGTGGGGGGAGGGAGGGCATTTGAAGGGATCTCGACTAATATGTGCAACGCAAGGGAACATTTCTAAATGACTACGAGTAAACTAAATGCCTCACCACAAAAAATAAGTCAGTGAGCTGATGGTTATATCAATCAATTTGATTTAAGCATTCGATATCGTATATAAAATCATCACATTGTATCCTGTAAATGTATACAGTTATGATTTGATTTAAAAAAATTCAAAAATATAAAAAATGGGACCAGATCAGTTATTTACCTTTAATTTGGGGGGGGGTCTCCAAATTGTATTGTATTTCAGAACATATACTCCGTTGAATGAAGAATTGTAGATTTCTAACCACAAAGGGTCTGTCTGGAGTTATATCAGGAAGCTGTTTGTCTTTATGGGTTTGGAGCAGATGGGTCATTAGTTTGAGTCCTACCCTCCTTATTTAGTAATGGTGAAAGTTACTTAATCTCCTAGAGGCCCAGTTGTTGTTTTTTTTTTCTGTAAAATTGAAATAACAATAATACCT